CTCCCTTATTTTTACTACAGTCTAACACCCTCATTTCAAACTTTGCATGACCTTAACAAGGAGATATTGATCCACAGGACTGCAGGAAATGATGCTACTGTTTAAATAATCTAGTCCTTCACAGAAAGCTTGCTCAGGAAAACTGTCTTTTCTCTGTAGTAGGCAACAAACAAATGGAGGAAGCTCTTTGGCAGCTGTAGATACCTTCTGTCTTTAACAGGAAGAAATAGGCTTGGCTCTTCTTAATCTCTGATTGGCCTGAGTTCTTGTGAGCTTTTGTGAAGACTTTCACAGGCCGCAGCGGGAAGTTCAGAGTTTAGTGTCTTTTGTCTGCATACTGAGATCTGGACAGTAGACCCAGAGAGCATATAGAAATATAGATGAGGAAAGAACAGCAGTATGTAGAGGATGAGGTAAGAGTTCAGATGTATAAATTATTTTTTTTCATATCGATACATCTTTCCCTCCCACTCCTTTAACCCAATTTAAAGGGAAAAGTCAGGACCCAAATAAGCCCAACTTAGGAAAAGTTTGCATAGAGTCTTTTAGGGTCATCTGCAAGACAGACTCAAGACCACTGGAATTAGCTTGCTGGAGATCATTGACTGGAGCTGGCTGATGAGAGCTCTTCCCTTGCTGGCTCTGAAGGACCAGGGAAGATTTTCAGAATGCAGCTCATGTGGTTTTCTCAGTCATTAGTGTATATTCCATTAGAGGTCTGTATTGCTGTATTTTCCTTCTGATGCAATGACCATTCTTAGGCAAACATTTATGTTATTTCTGCCACCATGACCCCTTTTTATTGCCTCACAGATTTGGAATAATCTGTTTTCCTTCCTCTCACAAGTAAGGAAAGGCTTCATTCCTCATAAAACAGATGTCAAAAGATGGAGAATTGGACCCAGAAGGCCAAGGACTCTTCAAGCTGGTGATTTCAAGGCTTGCCTATTTTCTGTTGACACAGAACTAGTGAAAGAGCCTTGTGCAATTTTAGATCCTAGTGTTTTATTCTAATGCTTTTTTCAGAAACTTTATCTTTGAGGGGGAAATAGTGATTGGGTAGGTTTCATTCAACTGAGGAAAACTGCATGGAAATAAGATATTCCAGGGAATTTACAGAACATTTTTTAAATCAGTATATTGTTCAGAGAGTACCATATGCTTAGTATTTAGAGCCCTAAGCTTTAAGATATTTGTAATGCTCAGGTATTTCTGTAAGTGTTTTATAGACATCTGCAGAGTGTTTTCATCAGCAATCTCACATAACAGAAATAAAAGCTGTATGCATCAGGCATTGTCAGGTGCATACGTGTATCTAAATGCATATATGTGTTTTTGTGCATCTGTAAAATGCATTCTATGTACAGATATTAAACACATCCTCTCTGGGATTACACTCGAACTTGCATATTTGGAGGCAAAGGTTCCAAATAAAGAAGAACCTATGCAGAATAGTGGAATTTACTGCAGTTGCTGTGGGTTTTCAGAGCAATGGCTGCAGTCAGAATCTGGCCTAAGTAATTAACTTACAAAGGATGGAAAGAAAAAGCAGCATGTGGAAGATGTAATTAATGGGAACATGTAACAGTCAGCTCTCACATAATAAATTGGCAGTTATGCCTGAGGTAACTGCCTTTTATTTGCAAACTACAGTTGAAATTTTTAAAAGTAATTGCACATTTTCTTCCATTTCCACATGGTCCCAGAGAACATAGTACAGTACAAATACCAACAGAAACACAATAAAATAATGTGGGGGGGTTTTGTGTGTTTGGGTTTTTCTTGTTGTTTGGTTAGGATTTTTAGGCTTAGAGCTATGATCTTATTTGAGCCAATGTCCAAAGGAAAAGAGGAATACATTTTAGCTCAGGAAAAGACAAGTGGTAAAACATTTTAGTGAGGTTTAATATGGAATAATCTAAAAGGACAAGGCAGGAACAACCAGAATAAATAACACTAAATGGCTAGATACCCATTTGCAGGAGAGATTCAGTAATGTAATTCTCCTGACTCGAGTAAATAAAGGTTAAGATAAATGTTCTTAAATTCTTCCATTTCGAAGGCTTGAATTTTCTCCGTCTGAAAGTTTATTGCAGCTTTTCCTGAATAGCAAGTGTGACATCAGTTGTTCTTTAGTTATGCCACAGATGCTGGCACATCTTCAAGAAAATGCATTCTACCACTTGCCTAGCGCAAAGCTCTGGAAGGCTGCACAGGGGCTCCCCACAGCCAGCTGCTGATTCAGCTGATTCCAGCAGCCTGCTGGAGAAACACTGCTGTGGTCCTTCCTCTCCAAGAAAATTGCAAGAGGAAGGCAAAGACGGCTTGCAACTGGGGTTTCTGCTGTGACCAAACATACAAGCTACTGAACTTAATTGCCATTTCC